ACTTCAGCGGAATTTACGAGCATTTATGGCTCTTAAAAGTTATTGTTTTTTTTAGAATGCTGGGTGTGTGCATCCTTTGCTTGATCGAAGGCAGCCTTTCCGCAGCTTGGCAAGCGGCGGTTATTCTTAAATAAGTGATTGGTTTTAAAAGTGCTTGCTTGGCGAACATCTGGCTTTCCGGCTAGCAAAGTAGCATTCGGCTTCTCAAAAGCAGCTGCACTTAATCACTGCATGTTGTAGGATGCTGCCACTCTCGCTCTCCCTCTCTCTCTCTCTCTCTCTCTCTCTCTCTCTCTCTTCCTCTCTCTTTCTTTCCCTCTCGCTTGCACGCTTGATTTCGCTCTCTCTCTTAACCACCGTCGTTTTCTCTCTTCCTGCCTCCTCTCCCTCCCCTCTTTCGCTCCCTCCATTCCCTCCCTAACCCCGCCCTCCTCCACTGTCTTCCTCGTCCTATTTTCCCTTCTCTTCCATTCACTCTCAACTTCCTTCTTTCCATCTTTTTTTACTCTCACCCTCTCCCTTCTCATTCTCTTAATGGCAAAGGTGGTTGCTACAAAGTATGACCATGACGTTCGCTCGGCAAGACGTATGTGTAGCAAAGTGATGTGTCCGAATGAATCCGTCATGCTGATGTTGGGGGTCAGTCATCCGTTCCGTCTCGGTAGAAAGTTCAGTGGCCACAGCAGCTTTTCAATTACCCGTTTTTCCCGTGGTCTCTACGGATCGGTAACCTCTAAGAGGGGCTAATTTGTTACATCTCCAGCGGATCTGTTTTGGGCCTACCAGGGCGTGAAGAACGCGCGGGGGGGTTGGGGAACTCGTGGGGCAGTCACAAACTGTGGAATTAGCACAGGGCCGTGCTTTCTTTCCACGCCGCGTTTCGTTATTAAATTATATCAAGAGCTGATAATACATTATAAGGTATTATTAGGGTAATTAGCTCTTAATTATATTATGCACCGGGTAAATTCAGTGTTATCGTTGAGCTACTATATATAGCGTAACAAGCTGACAGTAACAAATGTAGGGCGGCTTCAGCCTGCATTCTTTTTCTGCAGAACGCTTCATTCCACCTTGTATAGTAATCTAGTAAGAGAAGTTGCCTAATAGGATAGGTGATCTCCTGGTAAACTCTCTGAAAATAATAGCCAGAGCTTGCCACACTACCGATAGTTCTGTAGCGTATGCAGTTGCAGCTGAGGCAGCTGTTACTGGCTGTGCATTTACTCGGAATGAATGTCAAAATCAATGTCAAAATTCACTTGCCGCGAGCTTTGTTTCCACTGTAAACAGACATGGAAGAGAAAGGGGGGAGAGAAAGGGAGAGAGATAGAGGAGCGATAGCGAGAAAGAGGGAGAGAGCGAGAGAGAGAGAGAGAGCGTGAGAGAGAGAGAAAGAGAAAGAGAAAGAGAGGGAGAGAGAGAATCATGTCGTCATGAATTCGTAAAACTCTAATGCTTACACGGATCGATCGCACACAATTTATGCCGTTTGCACATTTGGCGATGGCGGCAGAGCACTGAAATATGATGAGTCTTAAGCTGCACTTACACTGTCACTACCGACTTTATGTTGGCGAATTGGCGAGTTGGACCAAAAATAACATGTTCTAATCTCTTAACTAATTGCTATCGACCTGTTGCTCAAGCGACTTTCGCGTTTACACTGCCGATTGTCGGTTGTATAGTTGGGAAGTTGGTGCAATTCGCCAATTCGTCAACATAAAGTCGATAGTGTAAACCCAGTTTTAATATCCCAACGACTGCTCTGTGTTACTCAATCCTCTACTACTTCCATAACTCACTTTGGATTTACTCCTGACATGCAGGTTGGACCTCGCTAATCCGGACCAGACCAGATCCTGATTAGTAAAAATTCCGAACCGTGGAAGCTGGAGTTAAAATAAATGGCAAAATAATGTACATATTTCACTATTGCTGATATCGATAAACAATTATACGTAAGCACGAACCATGCTCAGGCTTACTAGACCTCCTCCTTATGACAAAGTGCTAGTGTGATATGCACAACTCCGCTGTGCTATGGCACAACGTTTCTGCACTATGAGTCTGCACTATATGTTCTGCACTATCGTTGGCTTTATTTTGCTGCATCTATTAATCCACTTATTTCTGTGTCATAGTCTATGACACAGAAATAAGTGGATTAATAGATGCAGCAAAATAAAGCCAACGATCTTTGGATTCAAATCGCCATTCCGAAACAAGGACGCTGAGAAACCATCGCATGTAAGATGGGTGAGGGGCCTGTGTATTGTAACACGTGTGACCATCCGCGCGTTCCGCCGGCGTGTCCCGTCAGCGAAATTTTTTTTCCCACTTGAGTTCCGGACCACAGCCAATCAGCGCACTCCATTCACTCGACTTCCTCGAAGCAACAATGTAAAATGAATACCTCCTATCCCTAACCCTAACCCTAACCCTAAACCGTACCCGAACCCTAACACTAACTATAATCCAACAATATATATACGAACCATATATTACAAAACACTATCTATGGTGGGTCAAGAACTCAAGTGGGGAAAAAAATTTCGCGTCCTGTCAGTGGTCCGGCGTTTGGCGGAAAAGAATGCATTATAACCGGCTAG